AATCAGAAGGAGTATGTGGCAAGGCGAGAATTGCCATTCCAGTTAGCACCAAAAAGAAAATTAGTGGGGGTGTGTGTAAGATCCCACTTGCTACAGGAGATCACAGGAGACCAGGAGATGGGGAGAGGCAAGGCCCTGCGATACCAAGTGTAGCGCTACAGAAACTGGAACTGAAACCAGTGGCTAGGCCCCACTGTGGGAGCGGTACATGTGGTGCACTGGGGGCATTAGAGAATGACATGGCTTGCCTGAACTTACGAGATGATACAAGCATGTGCTCTTATGATGTCAGACAGATTTCAAAAAACGGGGTGGTCCCGTCTGCTGCATTGAGCCCGAAGGAAACTGCAGCAGACGTAAACGAAAGCATCGCAGCCATCAGAAGCGTGCAAAACCTACAAGACCATCTGAAGAATGGCAGTGATATACCAGAGAATGTAGGGATAACGGAGACAGGATGTAATTGTGTGTCTGCAACCATTTTGGCAAATAAAGCAATCAACAGTGATGCGGTTTTGGATATAGTAGAAAATGCAAAACATGTTCTTCAGGAACCTATGAACTATGTACGTGTTCCAAACAAGGATGAAAAAATTGATGCAATTGTGTTCAGAAAGTCTGCAGTGGCAGAAGAGGGTCAAAGTAGGCTTGATATGAAGTTAGAAGTGTACAGGAAGGCTTCAAGTCTTTCCTATCTCAGTAATAAAATTGACAGCCCTCATGAAAACACAAGTGATGACAACAGATCTCCACTCTCTTCTGAAGGAAGTCCCCCTGATGACATTAGCAGCGATGGAAATGTCGTACACTGTGACAGAGAGAGGAGGGATCCAGATGCAATGATCGCCTCCTTGGACCGTCTTACAGGTGAACTTGTACAGCAAGCAAAAGACATGCATCTTCAGAAAGAGCGGAACAAAGATTCCAGCGTTATGAAACAGAGCCTTGTTGGAAGTGACACGTGGAATGAGGACACGTCACCCAATGATGTGTCATTTCCGAGTATGAGTATAAGTGCGCCTCTTGTCGCCTCTTTCAAGAGTGACAATCATGAGGACGGTGCCGTCACATTGCCAGAGCTGGCAGAAGAAGATGATCTCATCAGTAAGACCAGTGAAGGACAGCATGGCAGTTCCCTCACAGATTCATGCATGATTGAAGTGGAAGCTGGAAAATTAGCTGTAGCTGTGCAAGCAGAAGGGCAGACTCTTCCATATAGCTCAGCTGAAGAAATGGAACACAGTCTCACAAGTTTTAATTCTGTAGATCTAGATGCAATCAAGCCGCCATCAATGATGGGGAGTCTCGTGTCTCTGACAGCAAGTCTGTCTGGTCAGTTCGACAATGGTGAAAGTGGTGAAACAAGGGAGCATTGTAATTCACCATCTGTTCCTCCTCCTCAGTCTCGTAATAATGGAACCAGACTGGAATGTAGGCATTCCAGAAAGAAGTCTCTTCCTGCCGGGATGATGGTTCGAAGAGCGCTAGGCAACAGTAACCACAATGGAAGCAGTGAGAACCTTCAGGACAACACTAGCGTGTCCAGCAGCTGTAACTCTCACCTTGATAACATCAAACCTCCATCAGCAATGGAAGAATTAATTGATATTGTAGACATGGAGAACAGCATGGTTAGCGTAGCCAGCATTACCTCAGAAGTTGCTGATTCATCAAACAAAGAGCAGTCCACTTCTGAGCAGTCACCAGGAAATAGTGATGGCATATTTGAACTTCTAAAACCAGCAGCCAGTGTTATGGCTGAAGTGTATGCAGCTGCAATGTGCGCAAGTGTGCGCACCAGCAGTGCTAGTGATTGCCTGGATAACATAAACCCTCCGTCTGCATTTAATGAGGTTGCAGATTTGGCAGATCCTGAATCAGCTATGGAGCCAGGTACAGAGACCATCTGTAGTGATACTGAGATGTATACAGAGGATGCACATTCCATGGAAAAGCTAGATGAAGTTGATCCCCCAGATTTGCCCTCAGACACCGGCAAGAAAGTTACCCCTGTTCTTTCAGACCAGCATGTGACTAGTTCGGCAGAATCCACACCTAAGAAACGCAGACAGCTCACTCCCAGACAGAAACGGCAGTTGGTGAAGGAGCGTTACAAAACATACACCATTACTGCTGAAGAGGAAAAGGAGATTGAAGGCAATGAAAAGAAGTTACCATTACAGCCAGATATGTCAGTACAAGTTCCTGAAGCAGCAGCTTGTGACTCTGTAAGAGATAGTGAAAATTCAGATCAGGTAGTGCAAGAAGAAGAGAAGCGTTACAGCAAGGTAACACCAAAACAGCGACGCCTCGAAGACAGACACAGATTCCAAACCAGAGTTCTTGATAAATCGCCATCTGTTGATATGAACCATGAAGATGGTGCAAATGAACAAGTATATTCTGTTGAGATCAAGGGAGATTCATGTCAAGAACATCTTGAATCCATAAATGCTGATGCAGCTAAACAGAAGACATTGAGGGTAAAAACACTGAAACAAAAGAGAGCAGAGGCAAGGGAACGGTTTCAGACTCGTACTCTTAGTGAAGAAAGCAAGCCACAGCAGAACAGTGAGACCAGTAACTGTGCTGCAGGTGATAATACAGGTTGCATGTCTGTAGGTTGGGTTCATACCAACCCAAGAGCTGAAACACTAGCTCTGAACTGCTCGGATGTTGGTTTTGTGGAAG